GAATACCTGTGTCATCTTAGACAGACCAGACATCTGAAAGGTTCGACATTATCTACATACCTCACCGTCATCAGTACAGTGATTACCATCAAAATAGGCATCAAGTTGACGAGAGTACTAGAATTACTTGCTCTGCTGAGATCTTTTAAACAGGAGGACCAGCAAAATAAGTTCAGAGCTACGGCCTGGGATCTGAATGTTATTCTACGTCATCTTACAAGTGATGCCTACGAACCTCTAGACCAGACTACCCTCAAGCTGCTGACACAGAAGACTCTGTTCCTGCTTGCGCTAGCCATGGCAGCTCGAATATCAGAGATACATGCGCTAGACTTTGATCAAACCAGATTCGACACGGGGCAACATGCTGCAGTTCATCTATGACTTAGATGGGACTTCATTGCCAAGAACCAACTACCTGGTTAGCCAGATAGACAGTTCTACATACCAGCGCTATCTACAATCCTCGGACCAGAGGATATAGAGGACCTATCCTTGTGTCCAGTCAGAGCCCTGAAGATATATCTTCAAAGAACTAAGACAAGGAGACGAAAATTCAAGCGCGCCTATTCATCCCATTGTCCACAGAGACATCAGTAGAAGTCTCAAGAACGACGATATCGTTCTGGATGAGAGCCTTCATATTGAACGCCTATAAAGCAGCAGGACTAGAACCTCAAAGAGCTTCCAACCCACATGAAGTCAGAGCATTGGTGTCAACACTAGCTCTGCATGGAAATTGCTCTATATCAGCAATTATGGAGGGCTGCTTTTAGAAGTAGGACACGGTGTTTGCCAACCACTACCTCCAAGACATAGCCACTGAAGACGTCTCAGGCATTCACCAATTTGGGCCTCTCGTTGTAGCTAAGCTACTAACGGCTCCACGAAGGCGCTGAGTTGGAAAATCTCACCCTTTATCACGTTGACTTGTTGATAACTTTCACTAAAGAAAAGTATTAGTTTGAAAGTCCCTGCGCACAGTCTAGGACAAGCTAGCATGAGTGATTAAAGATCCTGTACGGGTAAAGATCTTACCTGTATGTGAAGGGGTCGCAATTCATTTATGATAAAGATGTTATCATAATCTATGGGTTGTTATAAGATATCTGGTAATAAGAAGATACTAGTTTATCTGAAGCCACATGAATCAAGATGATTCAACTTGTCTGAGATGGAAGTAAGACAAGAAGTGGTCCCCCCGAATTATAACGGAAGTTGGAAGAATAGGATCTCGGAATGCCGCTACGCAGTTCCAATGGGGGGGATACAGGACGTATCTAAGGACAGCTGATGAATCCAGGAAGTGGCCTGACCCACCACTAATCCGTCGGATTCTATAAGCAAAAGATCACGAGTCAGGATAAGAAAAAATATGTAATTTTTAAAGTAAAATTGATATTTTTATACTTATCCTGACTCATGAGGTCAAGCCCTCCCAACCTCCCCGCTGGGAACACTTCGGATTTCACAGCAGATCCAAGTGCTTGGGCAGAAAAATCAGGAGAGAGTGACAAGTAAGGCTGGTCACATGACTGTTTACGCGGGAAAAGGGAGGAAACTCGTGGGTGAGTGTATTTTTACGTCTGCTTCGGGAACTTTTTACTTTAAAAATTGCATTTTCTTTTTTTGCATATTTCATACACTATGACATTCATGTCAAGGTGGGGCGGTGGAGTAGCCTAATGGTTTAAGCGTTTGCTCGTCACGCCGAAGACCCGGGTTCGATTCCCCACATGGCCACAATGTGTGAAGCCCAATTCTGGTGTCCCCCGCCGTGATGTTGCTGGAATATTGCTAAAAGCGGCGTAAAACCAAACTCAGTCAGTCAGTCATGTCAAGGTCAAAGTCAGTCTTGAAAATATGTGTGTGTTTGAACACTTCATTTTACTTTATAAAGTTTGGTTTGATAATTTGCAGCGGGGGATTATGTCACCTTAGTGACAATGCTTGTCTGAATTGCCACCATGACACCAACATTTTATTGAAATTTATGTTTTCTGTATTTTCATTGTAGAGCCATGTCACCTATTTTGTCAAATCATAGTTGAATAAGCATGAAGACATGATATGTTCTGTGTTCAGGTCCTAGATGTGGAAGATGGTAGAGTTCGGATGAATGTTGGTGTTCCGGTTGAGCCAGACATAACAAATGTCATGCGGAGACAAGAGGTGAGCACCATAATTGTCATGCTTTATTCAACACATGTCCTTGATATACAGAGTACGACAAAAGTCGCGTTTTCGCTACCATCCAAAAACAGCCATTATGTTCATGTAGACACTCTTATTGTAGTACACCTAGTTCTGTGAAAGTATTTCACAGTCATCACACCATTTTGACTAATATATAAACATGGCACCTGGATATTGCACCATTTTGCCTTTAGTAGCCCCGTGGTTAATGTGTTCACTCGTCATGCCAAAAGCTCAGGTTTGATTCCCCACATGGGTACAATGTGTGAAGCCAATTTAGGGTTTCCTCCACCAGATATTGCTGGAATATTGCTGAAAGTGGCATGAAACCTGACTCAGTCACACTCACCCAGACACACACAGACTGTAATGTACAATCATAGATGCATAGTCGGGGCCATATTGGTAAGTCAGCTGTTCTCTGGAGTAAAGTTGGTCCCCTGTGACCTATGATAAGGGAGTCAGATCAGAGAGTTCAGTGAGATAGTTCCTTCTGTGTCATCATGCCTCCTTGATGTGGATGCTTTCAGTCACTGATTGGCTTGTTCCAGATTGATTATATACAATCTACTGCGATACAGCAGGTACAGTTAACAAACATGCTCATAACGAATTGATGGATATTACAAAATGTTTTGTCCCAGCCATTTGCTATATCTTTTAGTTGAACGTGGCCCTGGTGTATGTTTCACTTGCTTGGGTACCATCACCATGCTGTGACATTTATATTTCCAGTCACTGGAGACAAATTACATGCCTGGTTATATGATCGCTCAGCGGCTTGGCATATCAGGGCTGTTCTTGTCCCGTCTCACCGTCTCTATCCTCGTCATCCCAGGCAGCAGGGACAACCCCAAGGCCAACAAAATCAACATGGGCTTGAACCTGAAGCACACAAAGAGGAACCAGGAACTGCCTGGCTATACCAGGAAATTGGATGATTGGTGGACCTACTCTCAAGCTACCTTTGAGCTGGTTCGAGACTACATTGACAAGTAAGACTGAGTATAAGAAACTGACTGTACAGTAATGGTGTAACAATACAGTGTAGCATTGTATGCCATATTGTGATATGAGGCCCCAGATACAAATCATCGATTTACGACTCCTGTAGACATAAAAACATAGCATGTTTTGTAGTGTATTTTTGAACTGTTGGATATTAACAGACACTGTTTAATGACCAGCCTATGCAGATGTTCTAGTATAATTTTGTTTGCTGTGTGAAACACTCAGTGCTCTCTCACCCACATGTTTCTACCTTACAATGGTTTATGTCGATTAAATTATGGGGGCGGTGGTGTAGCCTAGTATATTCCTGTTGGCTGTGTGAAACACACAGTGCTCTCTCGCCTACATGTTTCTACCTTACAATATTTTATGTTGATCTTATGTCGATTAAATTATGGGGGCGGTGGGGTTAAAGCATTGGCTTGTCATGCTGAAGACCTGGGTTAGATTCCACGCATGGGTACAATAAGTGAAGCCCATATCTGGTGTTCCCTGCCATGATGTTGCTGGAATATTGCTAAAAGCTGCATCAAACCACACTCACTCACTCACTCCAAAATTATGATTCAGGGTTATGAATCACCTGCAACAAGAAGAATATCAACTAAAACAATGAGAGTACTATGTTACAGTATAGTGTTGGGATTGGTACAGTATTGCGATCCCACCATAATGTTACATCTCTAAAATACAGTCAGTGATTGTTGCAGGAATCAAGGTGGATTATATGGTCTTTTGTCACATAATAAGGATTTACCTATGAAATTCCAAGGTGTAAACAACTGATATGTTGTGGGATTCCACGATGTGATGCAAGTGTTGTCAGCGGGCGGAGGAGGAGGAGATCTGATGTCAGAGGAAGAGATATTTCCTCCCAACAGGTAGGTACTGAAGCTCCCTCCCCTCAGGTTCATCTTCGCCACCAGAGGGCATTCCAGGATTCTTGTAAATCTTGCCCAGTTGTATTGACTTTGATGTATTGGTTTTGTGTATTGACTTTGATGTATTGGTTTTGTGTATTGACTTTGCTGTATTGGTTTTGTGTATTGACTTTGCTGTATTGGCTTTGCTGTATTGGGTTTGTGTATGCCCATAATGAGTCCCATAGACCCAGATAGCAATGTCCGTTGGGCCAATGTTGGACCAACATTGGCCATCATTGGGCCTACGTTGGCCAATGTTGGCCCAACGAACGTTGCTATCAGGGGAGTAAAGTGAACAATGCTAATTACTGGATTACTGCCCCTTGCATTGTCACTATACCATTTACATGTTAGTTAAAAAGAACTAAACTTGTAAACAAAATATATGAGTTTGCTGCAGTACAGTAGTCACTTCTTTGTAAACATAACTGCTGGCGGTCTGACTCAATACATAGCTGTTAGCTGCCAGGCACAGAATGGGTGTATGACTTGTGGTAGGCTCAAAGTACCTGCTATAGCAGGTTGTGAATGATGTCCACAGACCGCGATATTCACTGTCAAAATATATACTGAGCAAGAAAGTTAGGGATCATGAATATTTTTAAGGATGTTCTTTTTTGTAGTGAACATGGAGTTCATTTAAATGTTTCAGTTGCAAAAATGATTCATGATCCTTAACTTCATGATCCTTTAGTATATTTTCTCCATTTTTCGGTTCATTTCTCGCTTAGCTTTTTCTTCAACACAAAATGTTTGCCCAACATTGACATAAGCACTGCAACTGTGACAGATCGGAGATGACTGGGCTTTCTTTGTGTTATTTCAAAGCTGCATAAGCAAGCAAACAAGTGTAGAGGGTGAGATCATTCCATCCTTGGGGAGAGGCACTTTGAGGAGGACATCCGACAGATCTGCTGCAAATGCTCGCAGCATTTTGTCTGTGAGTGGGAAGAGACAGCACACATGGATACCATTCCGTCAAACCCATAGCAACTGGTATGTGTTTGTTTAAATACAACCTTTTGAGGATTCAGAATAAGTCACAAGTATGCATGCTTCTTGTAAGAGATGATAGATAAAGATCAATCCCCTTTTCACAAAGGGTTTGCAGCAGTACGATAGTCATAAGTCTTTATCTTGCCGCACACATAAATGTCGTTTTCTGATTGGCTGAAGCGCTCTTCTATGATTTACGGAAATTACAGATGTTTTGTGAATGCAAACCGATGGAAGGGAGATAACTCTAAATTTATCTTTCTTGTCGTCTGGTACTCCATGCTATGATCCGATACCCGTGCTTCAAACAGTTCAAAATTACCATTGAGGTGTGCGGTAAGATAAATACGTTGTTCACTGGTCCCCTTAGGGGCCCATGGGTTGATGTACCCTCAATGTTTCTTTATGTTCCCCTTAGGGTACATCAGCCCATGTCCCACTCGAGACCAGTGAACAACTTGTAATGTCAAAGTATGTGATTTACGATAATTTTGGTCATGTACCAATGACAATGTTTGGGAAGATTAGCAGTCCCAGCTGAAATAACACTTGTTTTGCTTCCTAAAATTGTGCTGTGTTTGTCTGTCTAACAGATAACCATTGCCAATGATGATTATATATATTTAGCTCAATAGATACGCTCTCCTGGTATGTCTTTAAAAAACTTTTCTTTTCAAACATCTGAGTGGTCAAGCTTATGGAGTAGCTGACTGCATATCCCTGCTGCCATGGGACACTAAAGATACTATCTTGTTTGGGGGCGGTGGGGTAGCCTAGTGGTTAAAGCGTTCTCGTAATGCCAAAGAACCGGGTTCGATTCCCCACATGGGTACAATGTGTGAAGCTCATTTCTGGTGTCCCCTGCCGTGATATTGCTAAAAGCAGCGTAAAACCATACTCACTCACTCACTCATCTGGTCTATACTTTGATAATTTACTGTCCACCATGATGTAGCTGTAATTTTGATGAGTGAGATGTCAATAAAACATCAATGTAAAGGCACTATTGACCATCATATTTGTTTCTGTTTTAAAGTTCTTGAAAGTCGCCAAATTAATTTTCAGGAGACTGAAGTGAGATTCAGGGTTTGTTCTGTTTGTTCAGAGAAATACGATGTGTGCGAACATTCCATTTTCAAAATCATTGCTTAAGGTACAATGGGGCAGTGGAGTAGCCTAGTGGTTAAAGCATTAGCTTGTCATGATTAAGACCTGGGTTTGATTCCCCACATGGGTATAATGTGTGAAGCCCCGCTGTGATATTGCAGGAATATTGCTAAAAGCAGCATTAAACTAAACTCACTTACTTATTTAGGGTACAGCACTGATATTACCCCAGTCTTTGGGGCAGTGTGCACTCCAATATCATTCTCAGCTCCCTGGAAATCATACAACCAAATGAGACTCTAGAATGAGTATCATTCTCATTCTATCAGATTCCTGTTTACTGCCATTGTAGCCACGGTGATAGATGGTATGGTGATTTGTGAGCGCTGCTGAATGTTTCATGTACAACATTCCAGCTGAGACAAGTGCCTGTGGTGTATATGCGAGTAAAAAAACCCAAATCAAACCATTGACAAGTGAAGTTATTTGAAAATGGACACCAAATCTTTGTCAAGCATGTTTGAAATATGTCAGACAGACAGACAGGTTTATTCGGTAATTTAGGCCCAAGGCCCATAATACATACATTTGGCAAAAGTAAATACATACTGAGTAAAGCGAAGTAAAGTTTAGTATTGATTTGTTTTACAGTTATTCATTCCTTCTACGGCGAACTTGTGAAAGATATTTACTCAATGATTTTAAAATATGTATATTGTCTGATGACAACAATCGGATGAAGGTTTCAATTGTCGGTGGTTGAGTCAAATGTATTGAAAAACAATCAAATCTTTGTTGGGAATATTTTGGACATATTAATAATATATGGAGTTCATCTTCGATGTAATCAAGGTCAGCAGCATTACGAAAGAGGCAGAGACGTTCATTATACGGGTAGTTTGTATGACGGCCACATTCCACTGCGAGTCTGAAGTTACATCACCGAAACTGAGTTATGATTTTACGTTGATTTGGTAGCAATTCACTGGTTAAATATGGTTCGATGCTTAGAGATGATTTAAATTGTGAATTGTATTTACATTTGGGTGACGAAAATAGTGATGCATGCCAGTTTTGAGTGAAGCAGTCATAGAATCTCTGTTTAAAAATTACCATGAATGTGGATATACAGCCTATGTCTTGAGACATCCATAAGAAACCAAATCCATATTGGAATAATATCAACCTAATATGAGAAGCCCATGTTGTTTTACCATTATCATCGAGAGTTTTCATCATTAAACTAAATGATAAGGAAGTCTGTTTCGTGGAAGCTGTATCAGTCTGCACCAGTACTTGACTGCTCTTGAGATATATTGATACTTGAGGGGAGCTCTCCCACACTCTACCAGAACCATGTTGTTGTTGGTAGTTTTACTAACTTTAAGAAATGACTTGCAAAATCTGGTGTGCACAGTTTCAATAATTTTACAGTAGCTTGTTCCCCATATTTCAGATCCGTAACAGAGTATTGGTGCAGTCAAATATCTTAAACAATTCATGATGGTTAATATATGCAAAACGTTTTTGATAATTGTTGATAGAAAATATGGCCTTCCTCGCTTGAGATGATAAACAGGTTTTCGCTTTTGTCCATGATAATCTTGGAGTAAACACAATACCTAGGTATCTATACATATTAACAACCTCAATTTGTGTTCAATTTAAAAACCACTTCTCATAATCCCTGAGCGGACCTCTATTGCGAAATACCGTTATTTTAGTCTTTTTCAGGTTCACCTTCATTCCAGTCTCTGAACAACACCTTTCAACAACGTTAATTTTCCTTTGGAGCTGCATAGCACTATCAGATACAGATGAGACATCATCAGCAAATAGGAGAGAATAAACATCCTTGGCTTGTGAAGATATAAAAATACCTCTTCCACCATCATTCTCCAGCATTTGTGATAGCTGATTTATAAAAATAATGAAAATTTGAGGACTTAAAATACATCCTTGCCTTGTGCCAACATTACAGTTGAAATAAGATGATAATCCAGTATCAGTTCTGACACAAGCACATAATGATGGGTACATCTTGATGATATATTTCATAAATTTCCCCTTCACACCAATGCTCACAAGACTCCTAAACAATATTTGATGATAAATTCTTGATTGCCATAGCTTGTAAGGTGAATATATGGTCAGTGATTGAATAACCATGTCTAAAGCCAGCTTGACCCTCTGAGATTATGTTGTTGTTATCACACCATTGTTGTAATCTGTTATTGATTATGGAAGTAAGAATTTTACACACTGAGTTGATCAAAGAAATACCTCTGAAATTGTTTGGGTCCAGTTTGCTTCCAGATTTATGCAAGGGGCAGATGATACTCTTTCCCCAAATCTCAGGGAAAATGCCATCTTCAAATAACTTATTGAATAGTTTAGTTAATAATGGTGCAATATAACTTCTAGAAGCCTTGAAAAAGTCACCGGCTATGCCATCTGGTCCTGCTGATTTGCCACTCTTAATGTTTTGTTCTGAAAAGGGATCATTCAACTGTGATGCCATGTTGTCATTTATATCCTCACATAATGTCTCTTCAATAGCATCATTGGCAGATTCACAATATAAAAGGTTCCGAAAGTGATCATGCCATTCATTTACAGGAATATTTGGAGTCTCTGAACGAGAAACTGAATTTGATTTTAATACACTCCAGAATTGTTTAGGGTTTAGTTTTCTCCTTTGATCTTGAAGATATAAGTCTTTCTTCAGTTGAAATGTAGATTTGAAAAGTTTCTTTTGACATATATATGAATCAATGTTTTCACCCTTTGATCTGTGTGCTCTAAGAGCTGAGTATCTCTTTTGTTTGATATGCTCTAATTCGGAGTCCCACCAAGGGGGCTGCTTGGAATACATGGAAAGAGAATTTATTGTAAACTATCTTGAATTTATCTGCTGCAGCCTGGTAGAGATCAGTTAATGCTTTGACGCTTTCTTCCGCATTTTCTTCAATCTGTTTATGTATTGTGTCATACTGCATCATAAACAATTCATGAAAATCAACTAAAAATATGTTGTACGTTTCAGGGGACCAGTTGCATTTTATCCATGCCTCTTGATCCATAATACATGACTGATTGGAATTGTTGTCTTTACACCTTTGAGTTGAAGCTGCACCAGGAAGATCAATAGAACAATATAGATGGAAATGGTTTGACTCGTCTCTTTCATGAATACCAAAAGAGCTGAAATAGGGGAAGTAATCCACAACACTAGCACCATTATGGTTCACACAGGTCAAGTTGCCTTCCTTATCATCAAACAACCTTCCATTCAAAGTATGTAGACCATGTGTACAACACATTTCTGCAAGGGATACTCCATAGTTGTTATATCTGATATTGTCTTTCATATTGCGCGGAGTTTGGAAGTTATCACTTGGGTAGTCCTTACTGTTGTTTTGGACATAGCAGAGATCATCACAGGGAGTATAATCTAAAAATGTTTTCATTCTTTCATTAAAATCGCCCACCAGTAATATATGATGCTGATAAAAATTATGCTTTATGGTTTCGACATATTGTTCCAAACGCTGAATGCCATCAAAATCCTTACCACTGTATATAGGGGAGTTTTCAGGTGATATGTAGACAAACATTAACACAATATCTTTGTCAAGTCCAAATCTCGTGGATTGAAACAAAAGAACAACACAATCTTCACAATCTTCAAGCACTCTGTACATATATTTGTCAATATCGGGTTTCACAAAAACAGACACTCCTCCGCTGTACCTACCCAAATGCTTCTGTTTGGGTCTGCAGTAGTGGTATGATCGAAATCCGGACAATAACATTTCGTAATCAGTGGGGTGTTTAGCAAATGTTTCACTGAATCCAATTATATCATATTTACAACAAAAACTCTCAAAATC